TTAAATGAAATTGAGTTGCAGAACGTCCAAAAATTTCAATAAAAACAAGAATAAGAACTAAAATTCAGAACAACCAGACCTCAATCAATCCATACAAAATATACAACAAACAATCCTAGTTCACTCCAAAGTTTGTGTACAACAAATCAACCTCAACATTGAGGTTTAACTCTATACAAGAAAAATGAAAAATCAAATCACATGAAAGTAGATTTCACCCTCAGAAACTATCACAGGAAAAACCTCTAGATATTACTGCTACCACGAACTAAAGAGAAGCCCAACTCATAATGAAAACATTCTCCACCACTACCTGCAAACTGCAATAAGACCAGCAGAAATAAAGTTATTCCATCTAGTAAGAGGCAAAAAACATATGTATCAACGATTGAACAAACAGAAAGAACAAATACCAATAGGCGCAACGATTGGAGCACAGAATACAGAAATCCCAAAAATAAAAAAATAAAAAATATCATACATTCGAACCCTTATTTATCATCTCATAAACTAACAACAAACAAATTTCACAGAGCCCAAACTTCGCTCAAGCACAACGGACGGAAAAGAGTTTTACAAAAATTGCAAAAGAATTTTCGAACCTTATGATGTCTCAGGATCACGAAAGAAAAGAACATTCAAACACAAAATATAAAATCAACCAACCGAAGAATGCAAACACAAAAGTCTACAACAGATTGGAAGCCCCACAGAAATCAACTTGAAAAAATAATATGAAATATAAGTGGAGAAAAAGAAGGAACTAACTTGTTAGAAAAAAGCAGCTCGAAAACATCGGAATCCTAGCATTAGATACCAAGCAAACAGCTGAAAAATAAGTATAAAACAAATTAGTCCATACGTTAAAAAAATAGGGTAGAAACAGAAATGGTAAACATACATGGAGAAAAGAAATGACCCAATGAAACTCAGAGAGGAGTTAGGGCTAATTTGCGTGATAAAATGGAGAGAACAGGCAGTAGCGTGTGAAAATGGAGAAGAAGAAAGAAAGATCCATCTAAATCGAGGACAAGTGGGTGCATCATTGTAGCCTACAAGTTTTTTTTTTTTTTTTTTTTTTTTTTTTTTTTTTTTTTTGGCAGGATGAAACTTCAACAATGAGAAAAGAAATCCAGGATCTTAGAACAAATGCAAGAATCTTCCAGCTTAGCAAGTGTACAGCTTGCACTTTCACCCTCGACCTTCCTGCTGTTCACTTTATGTGTATGCATTCGTTCCATCAGCGATGCCTTGGTGACAATGATAAAGAATGCCCCGAATGCGCTCCTGAGTACAGGGCTGTTTTAGAAAAGAAGAGGAACTTGGAGCAGAATTCGAAAAACCAAGATCAATTCTTCCAGCAAGTAAGAAATTCGAAGAATGGGTTTTCTGTAATTGCAGAGTACTTTGGTAAAGGGATTATCAGCAAAACAAGCAATGGACCTGCAGAAACTCTAAATTCAAGTAGTGATTTTTGAGAAATTTTCACCTTGGGTAAAAAATAATAACCATGAGCTGTGATATCCAATATTCAGTAAACCCCGAGTTTATGGTAGAAATAATTGGCTTTTGAGGGTGACAAATCTAAAGAACTTCCAGGAAACACCACGTTATGTCTTATTATTGGAGTTAGCTGGTCTTTTCAATAAATAGTTACTTGGTCTTCCTAAAAGCAAACTTATGCACATGGGTCAGTGCAATTCGAGTTTTCTTGAAGGAAAAAAGTGGTGCTTCATTTTGTTCAACTCGTTTGTGGTTTTATTCTGTGCACAGTGAATGTTGTTGTAATTTGGTCATGCGCTTGCAAAACGTCGTTTTTCCAGTGTCTTATCATGTCTTAAAGTAAATTTGTGGTTTTTGCAGACAAATGATAACTTGTATACCATTGGATCGTTTTGAAGTCATGGTTTGCTTCTGTTGAATCTATGATTAATGTTATATTCTTGCAAAAGAAATAAAAAATGTTTATCACACAGTCCACTTCAATATTGTATACGCTCTTCATCAACGCTCTAACTGTTCTCCGGTAAAGCTTCTAAGTCCTCTCTTTAGCATAGTACTCCCTTCTATCTAATTTTCTGTACTCTATTGAGAAAAGCATTGAACAGAACATGCTTAAACTAAGCTGATGCTCGATTGGTTCCCTATACAAAGAAACAAGGCCGTGGAAGAGCACGAGAAGTATGGCTAAAGCTCAAATTTTGAGAAAGGGTAAATGAAATTCAGACGAGCCCGAAGTCGTTCTCTAATAGCAGGAATCAAACTTTGTATAGTTAGCAACTAAATTCGAACCAGACTGCATGTAAATTGATACCCGTTACCTATTTAATTCAATCTCTAGTTATCGTTTGTCTTCAATTAGTCTCTTTCTCTAAGAATCTTATGCACCGGCACTGTCAATGGAGGGATACAAATACACTTACTAATACTTAATTTGTTCACTTACCCCTAAAAGCTAGCCACCAATTTGGGATCGATAACTTTTTTTCTGGAATGTACTTCGTGTCTTCATGACGGACTATGTAAGACGTCTACCATCTCATGTGTTGATTGCCTTAATCTGAAATATTCATCAAACTTTCAACTGATATCATTGACTATATGATGTTGGATGTTGTGTTATTAGTACGATTCTTGAATTTGACAGAATTTGACTTTCTCACTATTTTGAATAAATATTGGTGGAAATTACTCTTTGAAAGCACTTAGTATAAAGAAGCATTTTTTTTAAATGGGTAAAAAACATGGACAACGCTACTTACACACATGTAGTAATTGAATAGGAGTTGTTTGATGTACTTAATTAAATGTCAACTTAAACTAAAATTAAACGTAGTTGGACTCGTTACACATTTTAATGACATAACGAATTAGAAAAACAATTTAAACGATCAATTTGAAATTTCGCACAAAATTCATTCATTGAACTCGTGGAAACATGACACGTAAAAGTGAGCCCATATGTCTTGACTAATAATTCGGCACAAAGTAAAATGGCCCCATATCCATTTTGATTTGACTAAAGAAAAATCAAAAGCTAAATTGTCACTTTAGTTTAGTTCAGTAGGCCAAAGTCCTCAAAAACTACCCCACCCACCCACTTCTTTATCTGAAGCACTAACGAATGTAGAAAATTAGAATTCTTCAGTAGTCGCATAGGTTGTTTATGTAATATGTATGTGGAGTTTTAGAAAATGATTATGATCTGAAAGGCGAGTTGATTGTAGAATTTAACTTCATTTATTGAGAAAAAGGGGCACTGGATACTTGTTTTCCCGAGATGAGCAAGGATAAAGAGAAGTCACCAGAGCCTCTTGATTTCTTCATTTGGACTGTTGAGGTAATTAATTAATTTCCGAGCTTAAATTTCTTCTACTTTCTTTGGATCTTGTCTTTAAATGGTGTAATTTAGTAAATTGAGTTGTGTTTGGCCTATGCTTGTTGCTTCTCATGAATTTGTGCTTGTGGTCTGTATAGAATGGGAGTAAAAATAGTGGAAATTCATGTTCTTTTATTTCTGGTCGTCTTGAGGTATCCAGATTTTCGCAGAGAAGTTAGATTGTTTATTATTGGCTTCTACTTCTACTTCTACTTCTACTGGATGTGGGAATTGTCTGTTATTGTAAATTATGGAACCAAACTGCATTTGTAGCCATTAATTTTTATAGTTGCTGTAACCCTAGTGTAGTTTATGTGCCATTTTTATTTTTTTTTAAATTCATTAAAAAATTGATTCTGAAAGTTGTTAAACTAAACCAGGGATTGGATGTAATCTTGCCATTATGTGTGGAGTAATATTTTGTTAGTGGACAGTTATTTTATGGAATTGTTAATTCTCTCTCTCTCTCTCTCTCTCTCTCTCTCTCGGTCATATCTGAAGTCTTTGTCTAACGGAAGGGTAAATAGTAAGGATAGAACCTATATTTTATTAGGATAAAACTATTTGTACACAACCATTTACACAATTTTTTACACACTCGACACTTGGCCGCCCCCTACTGGAGGGGCGGCTGACCCAATAGGGAGCGGCCAAGTGTCGAGTGTGTAAACCATTGTGTAAATGGTTGTGTGAATGTAGCATGGTCCATTTTATTAAGGTCTGCAAAAGTTTGATTTACTCCTGAAAGTACTGTTAGTTAAGTGGTATATTTGAGTTACGAGATTTCTGTAAGATTGTGTCTTACCATACTGTCTTAGTGAGGAGTTACAAGACTGGTTTAAGTTATTAAGAAAAGAAATCAACAAACTAGGAAATATGATATAGTTACCAGGATTGCAATCCTTATCATTTTAAGGTTTGGGGAAGAAAATCAACTTTGCAAGCAAGCGCTGTAGTTCTCAACGGGAAGAGTGAAAAGTAGAATCATGTCTATTAAGCTCTCAGTGTAATTATGGACTTTCTATCCTAATTGTAATGGAAGCAAGACTAATAATCAAGTATTGATAATGATTCTATGGAACATCAAGACGTGTTATCTAGACTCTATTGTTAGGAAAGTGATAATTGGATGTGAGCCATCGTCTCGATTTTGGCTACTTTGTAATTTGGAGTCCAGCAATGTTGCCTCAGGAAGTAATATCTGGTTTTTTGGAACATGTCAAAATTTTTTTTTTATCTATATTATTGATCGAGTACATGTGTTCTTTTCAGGTGGAATCCATTATTTTGGCATCTCAATGCATATGAATCTATTAGGTTTAACCATACGAAATGCCTGTTCTTTTACTAGTCATGACAATTTTTCATGATGTTACCAGCAATGATCAAATGCCTTTAGTGCATTAGCCATGACTAATGAGACAGATGTTGGTTGTTGAGTCACTCTGGTTATAGGAGTAACTTCGCCACTGTTCATGTACTGTCATAATGTACTTTTTGGTGTGCTATGTCATTGTTTTATAAGGAGTATAAATTGTAGAGTCATTTGAATTAACGAATGTTGGTGGTGATATATAATTGAAAGCCTCTCTACTCAATCTAGCCTCTCTCACACCCTATATATCAAGTGTCGGTTGTTTATGCCGTGTCTTTGAAGCTCAAGGAAAAGGCTAAGTTAGAGAAGAGGTAACGTTTGGAATTTGAATAGTCTACCTTGGACCCAATAATTTAATCCTTTGGGATTGTTCATGTATGTCTTTATTTATTGTATTAATTGCTGCTTTTATTATTTTTCTTTATTTCTGGGGGTGATTTGAGAAATTCTGTAATTTGATTTAAGTTATTATTAGTCTTTTGCTTTTGATATACATCAAGGAATTCCAATGGTGTCTTAAGGAATAAAGGCTTAATTCTTTGAGTTTCTTAAGAGCATCTGAGTTTTAGTTAGACTAGGAAATTTGTTGGAGCTGTACAGTGTACAATTTTTTGAGGTTCATAATTTTTTGAGTTCTTGCCAGTATTAATGAAGTATTCAATTTCAAGAAAATTTCTTGATCTTTTGAAGGCTAACTGATTCTGTTGAAGGCAGACTGAACCCAATGATGCCTAGCATTACTTTTTCTTTTTCTTCCACTTCTCTTATCTTTATTTAATATCCAGCTAGTAAATCCCCCGCCTAGCCCTTCAAAATAAATATTATTTGATGCCTAGGTAATCCTTCTTACAACCAAAGACACGAACATGAGTAATTTCATCAATTTCAAAGGTGTATCTGTCCCATTTACTTTTCAAATAAGTAGATGATTGACTTGAATACTCGCACGAAATCCTCCGATGACACGGATTTTTATTTTGTTTTTATAATGCTCCAAACAATAACCGATTTCTTGCTGATCTCAAATCCATTTGCAACTAAAAACTGAAAAACGGATCTGCCTTATATTTTTTTATAGGTGTTCATAATCACTTTGTTGCTAAAAATTATCAGAGACTGCCATAGTTGTTCACCATCCATTAGTACTATCTGAAGTCTTTTCTAGGAAATATACCAGCAATTTGATTTTTATTATTTTAAGAAGACAGGGATGAAAAAGCTGAACTATGAACACACCTAACATATCACTCTACTAAAAATTGATGTCAAAAGCATGCACGGGCCTCTATATTATTTGAGGGAGCCTAAGGAGAAGAAATAGGAAACTTTAGTTGCAAATGGAATTTCCTAAATTACCAAGCTTTTGATTTCTCTTGTTTCCCTAGGATGTTGGCTTGTGGCTGGAAGAGATCAATCTTGGTGGCTATCGCCAAATTTTCAAAGAAAATGGGATCAATGGGGAGTATTTAGAAGGGATGTCCATGTTTACAACCGAGCAGATACTCCGGTTCATAAGGAAGTGCCACATGAAATGGGGGGATTTCATAACCTTGTGCAAGGAGCTTAGGCGAATAAAAGGTCTCTCTCTTTCTCTCTCACACTCACATGAATGATTCTACAGTTTTACCTTGAAAAATTGGACTCTTTTATTTAAATTCCTTCTTACAATTGAAAAAAAAAAATGAGAAATTAGAACTTTTGTCATCTTTTCCTAGTTCCACCATTTGCATCAACTGCCACCACCTTTGGTAGATTGACATCCCCAGCACCTCCGACCTCCACCAAAATACTAGCTACTTATTATCCACGTGTTCCATAGGCTACTTAAAAGCACCTCCAAACAAGCACTAAATCAGATTTGATATTGGGCGGTTGGGGTTTTGATAGAGTGGACAGTGATGCCTGTAGTCCATAGGTGAGCCTTACCCCACTCTGGAAGATATAGCTGTAAAGAGCGATATTTATTCTTACTTTTATTTTTACAAGTTCGTAAATTTTACGTGGCTCCCAATCCAATAACCTTGGAAGGAGGGAGGTGTGGGGGAAGTGGGGTTTGGAGGAATAGGGTGACAGTGGTGGCCTGGTGGGGAATGGGGTAAGGTGAGGTGGGTTGGCAAGGATAAAGGTGATGATTTACATTTTTATTTTTATTTTTATTTTTTTGTGATTTTGTTATTTATTTTTCATTTAAATTGAGTATTTGCCTATTTATTATTTAAAAATGAGATGTGCAAGTCACGTGCCTTTACAATGGTCTAATGGATGGAAAATAGCCCATAGAAAACTAATATAAGCTTCAAAGTCTGGCAATGACTCTTGTCAACAACATGGATTGGAGATCAAATTGTTACAACTTGCTGCACAGGTTTGGGGACCTGAGGTGCAAGTTTTCTAGTGATTTAGGCAACCTTTTGTATTTTTCTTTCTGATATGATGTTAAAATCTTTATTGTTTCTGAACTTGTTTTAGTGGCTTGCTTGAAAGGGGAGCAGAAGGTTCGCCGGCCATGGTGGGCCCCATCTTGTCTTTCAATGGTATTTGTGAAAGCTTCAAAACGTAACAGGCAGTCCCGAGTTGTTTCATTGAAGCTGGAACCTTGATGTAGATACTAAAAGGGAAATACCTCCCCCTTTTGGGGTAGGAAAATCATGTCCCAGGCTTGTTGTATGTATGTACTTCTAATTTTTCTTTTACTTTTATGGCAAAAGAAAGTAGGAACAAACACATGTTTACTTTTTGTTGGGTTTTGCCAACAATATTTCTGGTTCTTCTTTGGAGGACCATTTGCATTGTCGGGACCCTTACCAGATAATATGGTAGTTTGCTTCTTTTTCTTGGAATTTGTTTTTGAAGACAAGAAGGAACGTTGCAAGTGATTGTGTGCATTTAAGTTGTTCATAATGTCACTTAAGCAGGTAACTTGACAAATAAATTTATGAGCTCCTTTTGTATACAAATGTCTTTTCCTTCCCTCGGCAACAATTTTCTTGCTAGGAGAATGGACTCGTCGGTTATAGTAAGTCATGTCAGGCTGAAGGCTGCCGAGGAGGGGTGAAAGACAAGGAATAAAAGTTTTTTATTTTGATGGCACCGACTGCTTGCTTGATCTTTAGGCTGCATTTGATGAATTCCATGTTAGGTGCTGCATGATCTTGACATGCTTGATAAAGAAAGATTGTTCAAAACCGGTTATGTTTTCTTCCAACTTGTATTTCGAGAGACCCGCTTTCTGTGATCCTCCAGCAAAAACTGTTTGTGCAGCTCTATAATGTTTTTCTTTCATTGGCTATAAGTTTACGGCTTGGTTTGGTAGGAAGGATTGGATGAGAGTAGAGAGAGTACAAATATTTTCTTTGTGATTCTGATGGATGGATGGTTGATATGCATTTGTTATCACTTCATTTTGTTTCCTTTTCTTTCTTGTTATGAATTAATCTATTTGTACAATGAGTTTGACAATGTGTAAAGTGTAAAGATCATAACCATTAAATTCAAAAACGATTTTTCAAATCAATGGACATGATGCCTGCCAACTCACACATTGCCAAATTTGTTGTCAAATTCATCGTATAAGTAACATGATTGTTCTTGTTATATGGTGCTCTTGATGAGACATGGTTTATTGATTTTAATATTAGTGTGTGGAGTACTGTGTAGACAATGTTGGATATTGGTTAAATAAATCGAGAATTGAAAATCGATTAAAGTGACTTCGTATCGACTTCGGGCAAATACTCAAAAGCTCGACTCAATCCGTTTAGGCAAAATTGTTTGCCACTTCGCCGCTTCGGGGCGCACAAACGGGGATCGACCTGAATGAGAAATTACAAAAAAGGACGAAAATCAGGTCAAAATATTTGACCGTGCGACCGCATGGTTGGTAAACCGCGCGATCACACGTCAAATTCAATTCCGGTTTTTTGAGTAAAATCGTGCGGCCGCACGGTTGTCCGGTGAATAGACACTTTTTCATAAAGGTGCATTGTTTGGAAAGGGTGCATGGTTTAGTCTCAATCATTTCGC